TATAAATAAAAACGAAAAAAGAAAAAAAACCGCTGTTGTGGTGTGTCTGTCAGCTTTTTCATGTCGACATAATTAATAGTCCTGTGAAAAAAGAATAGCCACTTCCCTAATAAACAAATCGATGAACAGCTGTATGTACCTCATCACAAACAACAGCAACAATACATTTCGGTGGAACTCCTTCGTGAACATGACCCTCAATTTCTCATCCCCGGTCAAGAATTCGGAGCTTCCATACAACAATGCACATTCAATGTTTTCAACATTCTTATCACTCGTTTTGCTTTCCTTATTTAACTAGCGCATAAGCACAAGCATAAGCATAAGCACAAACACTCGCATAAGCAAGTGAGAACACCCACGACATAAGCATAAGCATAAGCACAAGATATGCTTATGCTTATGTTATGCTTATGTCGTAGTGCGAACGCGAGTGAAATAAGCATAAGCATAAGGGTAAGGTGGTCAACCAATCATCGCTCACTTTGACCAATACCTCCTCGAGAAACTATCCCCAAACAAAATGGCGGATTCAAATCGCTTTGACATCACGGCAAATGCAGAGCTGTCAGTAGATGAACTTCTCTTCGAGGCGGTGAGACAATACCCGGTTTTGTATGATAAAGCAAGTAAAGATTTTAAAGACCGCAACAAAAAGGAGCTAGCATGGCAAGACGTCGCGGGGAAGACTGGTTTTCCCTCGGGTAATTATTGTTATCTGACATCATTTGTAGGCTTAAGTTTATGCTTAACAAGGTTTACCCCATGAAGCTTTTTCATGGAATTGATAGTCCCCACGTCCACTTCATTTAGATATTAACGTAACACAAACAGTCACTACAATTGAAGAATTTGCCCGAAATGGCAAGCTGTTTCTATTGTGACTGGATGTTATTTGATAAAAGAATCACATGGTTGATCTTTATTAGGCATTGTTGTGTGCAAAGTAGTTTGAGGTTTTTCAAACTGAAACAGGCCAATGTAGACTAAGAATCGATGCTTATAATTTTTAGGTAAAGATGCAGAAACTGCTTTCAAAAACCTAAGGAACAGATACTCAAGAGACAAGAAGAAAGTACAAAATGTCAAAGTCAGTGGAACGGATACACAATCTGTCACAGATGCCAAAAGTGAAACAAGCGACATGTACATGTTTTTGGCCTGGCTGGATCCATATGTTCAACCCCGTCGCTCTTCAAGTAATCTTATAGTGATAAACGAAACCTCACAAGTAGATGATGCTGATAATGAAGATGAAGGTACATGCACTCCAGTAGACAGCAGCTCTGGTAGAAGCATCACCCCAGACCCTAGCTTTGAGCCAAAGTCATTAAAGTCAAAAGTAACTGGTCGGCCAAAATACCTGCATGCCAAACGTCCTAGAATAAATAATGAAGCTATTGAAGGAGCTGAAACAGATTTTCTCAAATCTATTGGAAATCACCTTGTAAGTAGAGACAGTCAGAGAGAACAAAAAGATGAAGAATGCCTTTTTGGAGAACTTATTGCTGCCCAACTGAGAAAGATGTCAACACAAGAAAGACTAACAACCAAGATGGAAATAAACAATTTGATTTTTTTCCCGCTTATTAAAGAGTAATTCTCAAGATGTTAATACTGTTAGCTATGTAGCTTCTAGGTACCCTGAAACTGCTAGCAGAAGTTTCATGTAATGTAGAGGCTGGGTAATGTAGAGGCTGTTTCAACATATCCCCCAGGTTACTTCTTCCAGCAACGTCGACACGAGGGGTTATAAATGCTAAGAGTATCAACCCTACTTAGTTATGTATTGGTAGTTGAAACAAGGCATAATTGTCTGGTGTGTTGTAAGGTCAACATTATTTTATTGTTATGACCAAATTATTTAAAGTATTGAAATCATTATTGTACAAGTTTTAGTTATAGATTATGTTACAAAATAATTATAAATTGAGAGTTACAGTATGTTCTTGTTAAGCAAACAGTTTTGGAACGTATTCCCTTTTCACATGGGTGTTGTAATAAACAAAAAGGTTGTGTTGTTCAATGTTGTGGTCACTACTTTTGAAAGCATTTAACCAGTTTCTGACTGTGATAATCAGCTACTACCTCCTTTCTCGAACTCAAAACGCATCATTAATCTCTTGTTTCAATTTGTGTATTTCACAACCTATATTAAGCAAGGGATGCGAGGTATGTACAAAAACATCAACAGGACAACTCATATGTAAACTGTTGTGTTATCACATTTATGATAAGACAGTAATTTATATAAGTGTTATAAAGACAAATTGCATTCATCTCTCTTGGAGATATCACACTAGAATCTAGAGGGGGCTGAAATTGCGGCAAGAGCGTATCCCACTGTATGGGCATATCTACCTGTGTAGGTTCTTAATAACTCAACTGACCCCTACTTCTGACATACTCCCACTGCCATGGTAGAGACCCAGCATCAGATATAAAATAACTCATTAATGCATTTCGCACTTGTACTGCAGCACTGGAATTTCGTCTTCCCCTGAAAGGTGGCATGTTTGTCATTGCATCACTCCCAGTTCTTCGTACTGCACCACGCCATTCTCCAGGTTTAATTCTGCCAGTGCCATCCTCACTGTCGGCAAAACCAGTTGGACAATATACAGCAGAATTAGTTAGCCTAAGGAAGTTATGAAGGCAAACAACAGCCTTTGTGATGGCTTCTGCTGTTTTGACTGAGGCACTTATGGGGCGACTGAAAATTCCCCACCTTGCAGTTAATATCCCAAAAGTGTTTTCTATTACTCTACGTGCCCTTGACAATCTATAGTTAAAAATTCTCTGATTTTCTGAAATATTTCTGCCTGGAAATGGTCGCTGCATATAGGTTTTTAAACCAAAAATTTCATCCCCTACTAAATAGTAAGGAAGGGGAACCTGAAGTCCCTCAAATGTTTCTGGGGGTGGGAATCCAAGAGTGTTATTTTCGAGGGCTTTTCCCATCGATGAGTTCAGCAGTATGCCACTGTCATTATTACTACCAAAATCACCGATATTGACAAGGGTAAAAACATAATGAGCATCACACACTGCCATGAGCACAATGCTATAAAATCCCTTTTAGTTAAAGAAAAGGGAGTCACTACTTGCAGGACACTTTATGGCTATATGCTTCCCATCAATGGCCCCCAAACAGTGGGGAAAGTTCCAAAGTTCCATAAACTCCTTTGAAATGTTTTTCCAGTCATCTGCCGAAGTTGGTGTTTGAAGATACTCATAGCTGAGTGCATCCCAAATAGTTTGACAAGTTTCTTGGATTATATTACTTACACAGGTTTTAGATATTCGATAAGAAAAGGACATGGATTGTTGACTGTCACCAGAGGCCAAATAACGTATGGTGAGTGCAAGACGTTCTGATGGTGAGATAGGCTGTGTGAATTTTGTAGCTTGCTTCCTAATAAGTGGGCCGACCTTGGAAAGGAGGCAATCAAAACTCTCCGGTGACATTCTCATGTACCTAAAAATGAGACCAATAATCATTCAATAAACCAATGACTGGACTTGATATTTGAACAATAATATTTCGAGCGTGCGCCTGTAAGATCATGTTGAGCTAAAGTTGGAATTAAAATTTATTTGTAGCATACACAAAGTAACACAACAAACAGAGTACTGATGCAGAAAATATATTTATCAAGTTTATATTTTCATTCTATTTTCGGGGTTTTTTGCATAAAATAACATATAAAAACTTTCCTGCAACTTAAAAACGCTGGCGACGATAATTTTCAGAGTGTAAGCCTTTTACACTAGTTTTTGAGCACATTTTTAAAATTCCCTTACCGAAAGTATAGCTCTCTGTCACTCCTACGAAGTTCCAAAACCAAGTTATTGAACTCCCCTTGAGCTTGCCTGCGACGATATATCTCCCTTACCCAAAACCTTCTAGGTGTGATGGATCTTCTCGCATTACGTCGTCTTCGTAAGCGAAAGAGGTAAATTACAAGCAACGCAAAGAGAAAGATCTCATCTTCATCCGCCATCTTGATTGTAGTTGAGGAAAGCTGGTATCGATGACAGCAATAAGGCAATAAGGTGATGATGACAGCAATAAGGCCGACAAACTTGGTTTCAAAACGCGTCAAATTTAACGTAGATTTCGAAAATAGTGAGCCATATATTAGGGTCGGCCTTTCGGGTCAGAACAATGCCGATTCGGTTTTGCCTTGAAAAAAATTCGAGCGATTTCCGGACTATCAAGAAGACTAAGCTCGATTTCTCGTCGCGCAAGGTTGTTTTTCT